CATCCCCCCTCCCTTTTTTCAACACCACCACCCAAGACAAACCAGTTCGTTATTATGGATTTCTATTTTCGTTTCTCAATCAAGTATTGCGCATTAGAAAGGGGAAAATGTTTATCAGAAGATGTACTCTAAGTCTAAAGTATGCAGAGCAGACGAACCCATTAACACCAAGGCAATCTCGTATATTACTTCACATTTCACAAGACGGGGAGGGGGGGTTAGTGGTTGACTAAGAACATCTACTCAAGAAAAACGAACTTTTGAGACGACATTTACAACGCTTTGAAATAATAATATTATATCAAGGGTTATTATCTAAACACAGAATTGTATTTTAAGAAAAGGAACGAACACAAAAAAGAACAAACCGAAATAATATCCGTAGTGATCAAGAAACTACAGGGGCTGTTTCTCCTTTATAAACCGTGAGAAGACAAACCCGTATAGTTTTGCGGTCACGTCAGGCCATTGTGTTATCTATAAAGATACTATTTAAAAAAAACCGAGAAAATAACCAAAACAAAACAAACAAACCAGAAAAGAAAGAAAAACAAATCAGGAAAGAAAGAAAGAAAGAAAAAAAAACGACGACTGCTCTAGTTGCCATGACAACAGTGGCCACCTGAAATGGCAGTGTCGGAGACGGGAGGCTACAACGCTGGTCCTCATAACGTCTCGACTGCAGCAGGAGAAGGGAGTCCATGAAGTCCGGACCCTGCGACATCCCAGAGGTCAACAGATCAAGGGGTCAACAGGTCAAGGGGTCAACAGAACAGAGGACAAATGGATAAGATGTCAAGAGGACAAAGGGTGAAAAAATGGTGAAATGGTATAGGTTTAACGCCCCTATCAACACTATTCAGTTATTTAAGAGGCGGTACCTCCGAGTTTCATGTCAATCTGCTCCGAAAGGACCGAGCCAAGTGGGAAATTTGTGAAAAGTGATTTTGCCAAGGACACATCGTTGGGCCGAGCTGAGGCTCGAACCAGGACAAGGGGGTCAAGGTCACAATGAGGGCTACTAGTAGAGGTTACGGGGTCAGAGTTGTTTAGTGTTAGTGAGAGTTTTGCGGCACTTGCAACACAGGTAGGTCATATTTTAAGTCCTGGAGGTTCGAGCTGTTACTATTAACTAGAGAGTAGCATACAAAGAAAAGAAGGAGGAGAAATGACAGCGATAGATTGTTGACAAGAAAGAGGGAGCAAACCACACCACAGCACCCGCCAACCACCCGTCCATGGTCAAGGTTGATGGTACGTCACAGGTACAAGGTAAGTTTAAGATTGCGAGAGACAGTCTTAGAACATTTAATGAGCTAGACAGAAGTTTAAAGATAATAATGTTATTACCGTTGTCGTTAAGATCTATAAGATTTTATAAGAAAAGAATAAAGCTGATGAGAGGATAATTATCAGCTAAAAGTGTAAGAAAGCTGCTGGTCATTCTTGAAAAGATGGGTACAATCCGCAGAGTTGATCATCAATACTCTGATAATTGAATAATCATGAAGCGAACGACATACAGAAGGGTCAGACGCAACGAAGAAAGAATCATTAAGCGTTCCTTTTCATATTTAAATTGTTTGTTTTATGATTGCTTCAGTAAACAGAAGCACATCAACGCAACAGTAGTAGTCATTTAGTGCTGGGAAAAAGTCAGAAAGACAAACAGAAAGAATAGAGGGAAAGTAAAGAAGTAGGACCTAGTAGTTGCGCCCTCCAACCACCCTCTTCTTATTTAAGGGAATTGTAAGCTGTATTACGTAATGTAAACGTAACCCCCCCCCCCCCCAAACAACAACAGCAATGCAAAGAGAGGAATGATTCGCGTTAAATCGAGAGTAACGAGGCCACAGTTCACCAAAGATCAGCTCAGGATAATCGAATAATAAAACAGAAGAAAATAAATGAACACAGCTCACCAGCGGGGACCATGGTTACCGGGAACGCTGTGATGTGTCCATTCGAATTTACTATTCAACAATCACAAATAATTTTGCGATATTTACTACTATTCGAAGTGTGGTAGAACCATTCGAATGTTGTGTGATTTTTTTAAAAATGACTGAATAGTTGGCCACTGTTGAATAGTGTAGGCCACTTCTCGTTTACAACCAAACTCACAAACACACACACACACACGCACACACACTATATATATACTCACTTACACACGCACACACACACCCGCACACGGTATTCGAATACCTCGAATAATGACTTAAAATCTTCGAAGCGTCAATGAAGTTTTATTTCCTCCAAATCGCACAACACAACACTAATTAGTCACCCGCGGTATTCGCCACACAGAGAACAAATCGCCAGCACAAACCCAGACAGCGCGATAAGAAGGAGTCGATGAGGCTGTAAAATGTTAATTCCCCCACATTACAAACGTACAGAGCAGATTCTACATGGTCGTTGCTGTTATTGCGATGTGATGAACAAAAATAAAAAAACCAAAACCGATATTTGAGATCATGTTTGAGTCAAATCAATCATCTTAAAGCGCACACAAAGGGGACCTTCCCTTCTTAAACATGCACACAAACATACAGACACACGCTAATTCCTTCTTTCTCTTTGTCTTTAATGTTCTCTGTCTCTCTGTGCCT